TGTCCGCGTGCACAACATCCATGCATTTGCATGTAATTACCAAAACAAGTGCTCTCGCGAAATACATTATATACATGCTCATGTAAATTTCTAATCAAGTCAGCTTTTATGCCATTGTTAAAGACACATTGAATATGTGGAGCTTTTGTTGGTTGATCTTTGACGTAAAATTCACTTGCCTGCACATGTTCAAATAAATGAATACATACTTCTAAAATTATTGATCTATAATTCTATTTCTAGATAACAAAATATTATAAAAGAAACTACCTATATGACAAATTGAAAAACATTCTGAAAACTTGGATGTTCATTCTAATTTGTGAATATTAATGAGATAAAAAAATTAATATGAACCCAAAAATAGAATACATAATGAACTCATACTATAAAACTAATAAATTGAAATACATAAAGGTGCTGAAAAAATATAATATATTATACAACTATCTAGTATAAGAATAATAGACATGTAGTTTCTGATATTTCATCATGCATATAATACAAATTTATGCCCTGACATTCATCCTCTCAACAGTAAGAATATGATATTTTTTTGCATTGTTGCCAAGACAACTTTATACTGTACAATACTAGTCATATTGACAAAAAGATTATGAAATTCTTGTGCATATGAGGTTAATTCACAATTTGGCATACCTTACATTTTTTCAAGCATATAAAAACATGCATTATGCCAACACTGAAATGTCAACAATAAACACACAATCACAAAATCAACAATGGACATAACATACAAAAATAGTTTCAAAATAATTTAATACCTCTTCATCGACAGAAAGTAATACTTCATCACTTCTATCTTTTCCTTGATCATCAGGGGTTTCAGACCACAAAACCCTCTTTTTTTTGGAAGAGCTCTCATGTGCCATTCTAGCCGCAGATCCTACATTTTCGAGCAACCCTTGGGTAATACACAAATCAAATGAGGGAAAATCCCCAAAATTTTGAATATTATGTGGTATACCTCTAGTAATTCTGATTGAATCATTCATTGTAGACAATCAGATGCTTTCCCCAAATTCTAAAACCCTAAAAACAAATTTGTTATTATCAAGTATTGAAATGTAAAAAATATCAAACAAAATAAACATATATATGAGTTTCTAGAATCTACAAAATCTGAAAAATTAAAATAAAATCACAAAAAAAATCGGAAAAATTTGAAAATCATAAATATATGATGAATGTTCAAACAAAATCACATCAAAATTGGAAATTTCGACTGAAAATCCGTAAGGTATATAATAGGTGCTTTAAACATCAAATCAAAAAAATCAAAAAGGATGATGGAACTTACCTTGCCAACCGAAAAATCTGCTTGAATTCATAAAATTTCTTGAAGAACAACAAATTAGCACCTTCAATAGAGCTAAACATGCAACGTGAAAGAGGGGAAGAAACGTGATATTTGGGGAAGAAACATTAACTTTGTTGAAAAAGGTTTAATGGTATTAGTTTTTTTTTTCTTAACTTTACACGCCTATTGGTTCATATTTTGGTCCAATGTAGCACTCCTTCCATAAATAAAAATAATTTAAAATACTAAAATTTAAAATACTAAAATCTGTTTCCATAAATAAAATTAATTTAAAATATTAAAATCTGAATACATATTATTTTATCAAAATATTGTCATTCTGTTATTTTAAATAAATATTTTAAAGTGTTGTTACTTTGACTAATTATATTAGTTATTATGACTTAACTGCTAATTTTTCCAAAAAATTATCAGAAGCTTATTTTGGGCTTTTCATCCTAATGAAATTGGGCCAAAAAACATATAGTGAAATTATAGGTGCTGATTTTGAGACATGTTTTTTGAATAAGAGAAGAAAAGTAACCATTGCGTTAGGTTTTTGTTAGAAGGAATTCAAAGGTCAAAGGAAGTTTACAAGTATTGGGAGTTTAATAGTGAATGTGTGATTTTATTTTGAGCAACTTTCACATATAACAAACACAAAATTTATATTTGTATGTTATAGCAAAGTTTGCATAATTGTGCTCCATAGCAAACATATATATGTATAATTCGCTATACATATACAAAAAAAACAGTTGTATAATTTGCTATACATATACAAAGAAAGCAGTTGTATACAAAAGATCAATTGTATAATCTGTGTATGTATAAAACGAGAAAGAGAGAAAGGCAAAAAAAATTGGGCAGGAAAATATTTGTATTATATAATTATAAGTGTATAGGATGAAGATATATGTATTTGCATGTGTATATACAATTTTCTCTCGCTTTATACAAACAGAAGTGCAATTTATACATTTCATTTTTGTTTGTATAAAGTGAGAGAGGCGAGTGAGCGAGCGAGATCTGGGAGAGGGGAGAGGGGAACGAAAAAATATATATATATACAATTTTCTCTCGCTTTATACAAACAAAAGTGCAATTTATACATTTCGTTTCTGTTTGTATAAAGTGAGAGAGGCGAGTGAGCGAGCGAGATTTGGGAGAGGGGAGAGAGGGGAACGAAAATATATGTATATATACAATTTTCTCTCGCTTTATACAAACACAAACGCATTTTATACATTTGCGTTTTTGTATAAAGTGAGAGAGGCGAGCGAGACTGCCACCAAACGAGAGTGGCGAAAATAGCAATAGTTTGCTATAGGGTACAATTAAATCAAAGTATATTTATTGCATTTAATTTGAATTAATAGTTTGCTATTATATACAATTTTCCCTTAAAAACAACATTGAAGATCGTAAAAAACAAAAATGAAAGGATAGAATTTAATTTTTTAAAAAAAAAAAAGAATTTTCATAAAAAACAATATTTAATAGTATTGAAGATTGTAAAAAAAGGTACAAAATTTACATTTAAAAAAGAAGAAAAAAGACTATCTACTTTCTTACCATAAAGATTTTAAAACTTTGAATTAAGTTACTCAAAATTATTGTATTAATAAATAAAGGTTTTACAACAACATCTAAGGTAGTGTATGAAAAATAATTGGCTAACACTTATTAACTAGAAATAGTTTTTACTTCTATAAATAATAATATTGTTATTTGAAGTTAGAGGTTTTATATGTTTTGGAAATACTACACTGAAATAATTTTATGGTTCAAGTTAATCTTCACTTTATTATGGATTGAGTTCCATCTTTTAAATTTTGATTTTTAAATTATTTTTTTTTGGAGGAAAAACATGTATGTTAAAAAATAATGTTTGAGATTTAATTATTTAAAGCAAAATTCTAACCCTAACAAATACTGAAAGATATTTTTTTTCAGCAGTTGAGAACATCAAAGCAATGCTTATGTGTTCTCAAAGGAATGCTTATATTTGTTGGGAGGGTTTGAGTTAGAGAGAATGAAGCTAAAATCGATGTAGAGTCCACTATTTGTTTTTTCAAATGCAATGGTGTTCCAATTGAAAATTTTGTTTTATCTTGAAAGGTTTATGAATTATTTTAAAACATTAATTATCGTATGATTTTGTGTAACTCTATTCTAGAATAATATTGAAGGAAAGTCATAAAAATAGTGTACCGAATTATAATAGATTCCATATCTATTATAAATAAACATTTCATATCTATTAAATAAACAATGAGACACGAATGAGAAACATATAGTAACCAATTTCAATTCGTTTTAAAGATTCTTTATTTGCATTGATGTAATATATGTTCCTATATTAAACATATAAATTACTATCTACTTTATATTTTTTTAGTAAGGGTGTACATGATCGGGTTGGTACGGATTTTTCAAATATCAAACCAAATTATTTGTATCAAATTTTTCAATTTATAAACCAAACCAAACTAATAAAATTCGGGGTTTTCAACATCGGGTTGGTTCGAATTTTTCAAAAATCAAACCAAATCATTTGTGTCGAATTTTTAAGTTTATAAATCAAACCAAACTAATAAACCTTGGGTTTTTTCCATTAAAGTATTCATACACATATAATTAACTTGTGTTTCAAATATTTCTTTAGTCCAACCAACATACAACTATCTAAGGTGTTTCTAAGAAAATAACACAAAATATGAGATAAGTGATGTCACTAAAATATTCAACAAAAATTAATAATGAAATCGTATAAAATAAATATTACAAATTAAAAAGTCATAATATAAATGACCTTAATTTAAAAGTACTGAATCATGCTAAAGTGAGTCTAATAAGTATGAATTACATGATTAAACATTAAAGAAAAAATAAAATTTGGTTATGTATTTTAAATGTCTAAACCAATGTAAAATTAAAGAACAAATATTCAACATTATTGTCATTTTTCGTGTTGAATTAATTTATTTTTGTTAGCATTCGTATTTGATTTGATTTTAAACTGAGCTTTATTAGAGTTACTGACTATAACTTTTGTTGGACCATTCAAAATTCTAAAACTCAAAAAACTTGAAAAATTATGTTAAAGGATAAAAATTATGAAAAAGTATAAGTAATATTTAGAAATTATATCCAAGTAAATAGCTTTATGTATAAAATAAATTTCAAAACTTAAATATATAATGTCAAGTTGGTTTGGTCTCGGGTTGACTTTTTTTTAGTTAAAACCAAACCAACCCAAGTATAAGTTTTTTTTTTCAATACCAAACCAAGTCAAACCAAACCATTAGTCGGGTTTTTTTTCCCGATTTGACTCGATTTGCGATTTGATTTGGTTTTCGGTTCGGTTTTGTACACCCCTATTTACCCCTATTTTCTAGGATTCATCTATTCATTTGTAATTTTTTTAAAAAATTTCTTAAGTTGAAATTCAAATTGTGGATATAAAAGTAAAATAACAATATATTAAAATTATTGAGATTAAGCGGATCAAATCGGACGGATCATGACCCAACTCATTTTAGTTTTAGTATCTCTAATTTCAACCGAATGGGCCTATTTTGACACCCCTAAATTATATATCTTCTCTTTCACATCCACAGATAGATAGTTGGACACATAGCGAAGATTACAAAATATTTGCTCAGATTTGGCTGAATGCAGCTAAATGGAATAACAGCATATATACATATATATGAAATTAAGTGAAAACACATGTTATATTCTCGTCTTCTAAATACACTGTGATTATAATTTTAAGGAGCTTGTTTAGCTGCATATCTGCTTTCCATCTGCAATGCAGCTAGTATCCACGATATAATCCGTCATAAGCTTTTTATTAGAATCATCCACCATCTGCAATATCCCAAGGTAGTAGATTGAAAAAGAAGTGGCGGAGAGGTTTTATTGTTGAGGAGAAATTATATATACTCTTCTGGTTTAACCTTAACATCTTTATATTCGAAAGTTTATTTTTATAGATAAGTAAATAATCGATATCAAAGTAATGGTATCTGCAACAGATTTATGAAAAAATTCATTTACTTTGTCAGTGTGCATAGGATATAAGATAAAATCCATGATCTTATAATTTTACCTTTGATGCTAGGCGCTTCAAGTTATCCCACTCAAAGTCGTCCTTACAGTATGCTGATCGAACCTTTATGAAAATATTTCTAATTCAGTTTGATTATCATAATTAAGGGGAAAAAAGAAAAGCTAGAGGCTAAACCAACCTCTAAAATGCGCATAGCTGCGAAGAAGCCAATGAAAGTTCCCACAGATTCAAGCAAACATTATCAGAAAAGTCACAACTTTGTTGAAGATATAACTTAAGTAAACAGAAGGGTAGCAGAATTCTTAAATACTTGCAAGTGAAATTAGAAAATTGTTGATGTACCTAGATCTTTATGTCTCGGGGATTCCCTCATCAAATCCGCGCAAAACTTATCCCCATCACTCAATGAATGCTTATCCAGAAACTCCCTCAGCTCCTGGTATGCTTCAGGATTGTAGCTCTGTTATGTGAAATTATGGTTAACTAATTTTAAGAATCTCCTATTGATCAATGTAAATAATTTTTAACTATTAGTGCATTTGAACCTCATTAGCATGTAACTTGACTTATTTTTCAGGTTATTAATCTCACTTTTAACGGACACTTATCTGTCGTTATCCTTTAGGTGATCTGATATAGAAAATTTCAATATTTTCATTGCCTATCCATGGAAATTTAACTAAAAAAAGTATACTTCATCTTTCTTCTATATTGTTTTATCTACATTTAGGGATACATAGACATGTAATGAGATATTTGTTCTGTAACTATTTGCTAATTAAGTAGGAGACAATGAACCTGAAGCTGTGCAGCGACAATTTTAACAGCAATAAAATTGAAAAAGTGGTGTAGATGTTGGGCTGCTGTGGATTCTGGTGATGTCCCAAATCCTGCATAAGTCAAACATGTATCTTATGTACTAATGATAAAAGCAAAGGAGGATACAGCCTTGCGAAAGTTCATCTGAATTCAATAATTTAGGTCCATAAAAATTACAATAAAAAGTATATATGAACCCATGATTGTAATAGACGATGAATTCCATGCTGAAATGTTGAATCCATAGAGTTTAAATCTTGCAAGTTAACCCGAACACCACTGTTGTGAAAAAAGAAAAGCTTAAATCTGAAAATTGTAGGAGAAGAAAAGATAATAGTGATTACACACCAGGGACATACATCTTGTGACACTGGAAACGAGTAGATTGAGAAGTTCTCTGTTTCCATGGCTTGAATAGATAAGTTCTATTTTCTGTTTGAAGTGTTGAAGGGAATAAGGAGAGCTGCGAAAATACAATTGCTGTGGAGTACTCCATTGATACTTCTTGTGCTAGATTGTTCCTTTGGTAAGCAGATAACCAGTGGTCCTGATGAAGAAAAAAGAAAATGAAGGAAAAAAATATCTCTAGTCCATTGCATAAATATCTCCCTAAAAAAAGGAGAACTACTAGTACTAATAAATTTTTTGATGGTTCTCTTGCAAAGAAGAGTTGTGGATCCCACTCTATCCAACTGAGGGTTTCTCTTTAAGTAGATTTTTTGGATTGTTGGTCATGGGAGCATAACATGTAGGGAAAGAGTTACATGGCCCAAAAGAGTTGGATTAAAATTATATTGTGCATATAGATTAAAACACAAAAAATCTTCTATCATGTGAAGTGGTCATGGGTTTAAAACGAGTCTGTCAAAGTTGAAATATATATGTATACTTAAAAAAGTACCTGGTGTTTCAAAGTTGATATATATATACATACACGCAAAAAACAAGTAGAGTTAGACATACATTTCGGAATCCATTGTCTTTATAAACTCAAGAGCCATAGTATTTAACTTCTGAAGCTACCACTCATGTATATGCAGTATGCTTATATGTATGTATGGACAAGCATAAATAAAAAAGAAGAAAAAAATATAGCAAGAAATTAGAGGGGTCATTTTCATTGTCTGCTTGACCGCACCAGCAATAAAAATTCACACGTACATCCTGTCACGACGCATATTTTCACATTCCAAGAATCCAAAACTGAATATGGCCGTGACAGAGTTTGCAATTTGATATTTTATACTTTCTACACTACTGTTAGAATAAACATCAAGTATTAAGACGAAGCAAAATGGCAAATGAACAAAACGAGATAATAATATTTATTTGAAGACGGCAACATTTTGTTGTATCATTCTATAACTACTCCCTTTTCTTCTAACTTCCTTTGATCCTCTCATAATAATGAATATCAGAGCGAAAACCATAAACCTTACTATTAGTTTTTTTCTCTTCATTTTAAATGGTGAAGCTAAGTCATGTGGAAATGGTTGTGACATGGCTATAGCTTCGTATCATATTTGGTCAGGAGCTAATTTAACTTACATTAGTCACATATTCAATTTAACAATTCCAGTTATTCTTAATTACAATCCTCAAATCACAAGCCAAGATAGTATTACTAGTGACACGAGGCTTAATCTCCCATTTTCATGTGATTGCTTAAATGGTGATTTTTTGGGACATACTTTTGTGTACAAAACTGTGTTTGGTGACACGTACAAAAGAGTTGCCACTATGGCCTTTGCAAACCTTACAACTGAGTATTGGCTCAAACGGGTCAACAATTATGACCCGACCAACATACCGAATTATGCCATGATCAACGTGACGGTTAATTGCTCCTGTGGCGACGGTGAAGTGTCCGACGATTATGGGTTGTTTGCCACGTACCCTATTCGTCCGGGAGAGAACTTGTCCACGGTGGCGGTGGGGTCGGGTGTGTCAGCTGAGTTGCTGGAGAAGTTCAATCCGGGTTTGGATTTTGGTTACGGGTCGGGAATAGTGTTTGTGCCGGCAAGAGGTTAGTGACTAGTTTTTTTGTTATTTATTTGAGTTGGAACTAATCAATACCTTGAACGTTATTATTTCAAGTTGGACCAACACAAGTAGAAGACTAGAAGTCAAGAATTATGGAAGTTGTTTTAAGTTTTAATATACATAAGGTGTATAACTTCTTATATATATAATAACTAGGGGTGTCAAACATGGGTTGAGTTTGATACAGGCTAGTCAAAAATGAGTTAGGTGAAAACGGATAAAATGTCTGATCCAATCCAATCCATATTTGATATAAAGAAAAATAAGTACTTTCAGATTACAATTTTTTTCTACTTTTAGGGTGTGTTTGGTCTGATATACCACTCAACTTTGTTGTATAGAGCTGATATACCCTCGTTATGAAAGTGACTCATATATGCCCTTATCGTTATATAAATCACTCAAATATACCCTTTTCCCTAGATTTTTTTGGAAAATGAGTGAACCAGAGTCGAGGTAGGGAGCAGACAGCTGACTTAGAATATTCTCTTCTTACCCCTTTTTTACTTCATATTGTTATTGCAGATGCACAGGGAAATTTTCCACCGTTGAAGACAAGGTATTGTCCAAACTTAACATTCTTATTATTTCTGCTCAGTATTTTTCTGTCTGATATTTACTTAATATATGATTCTCTCTGGCTTTTGCTTTGCAGGTCAAGAGGTTGGCTCTATTTTCTTTTCTGCTCTGATCATGAGATGTACTCAACTTAATAAGTTCAAATGTGAAGTGACACGTACAATTGTTATGGTATTACCATTGCTTACTAAATGATGTCATTCGCCAGGACTCTCACGTGGAGCCATTGCTGGCATAACAGTGGCAGCTATTTTTGGGGCTACGTTCTTTGTAGTTTGTGTTTATTTCGTATTTTATAGGAGCAAGCAAATAGAAGAGGAATCATTTCTCCAAGGGTCATCTGATGAACACTTCAATGAGAACTTTCGTGAGTAGTTTATTTGATTGTGTTGTATCCTTTCCCCAACAAAAAGATAATAGTTTCTTCTTGAAGTATACTGATTACAACAAAATTGCCTTAACTGGTGATGCACCGGGAATTTCTGTTGTTTCTTGTTGATCTCTTGTTTTGTTCCATGAATAATCATCATGTTCACTGAATCACTGTAAACAAGCCTTAATTATGTGTCCCCTGCATATTTTTCTGAAAGTGTTTATAGTTAAGCCGAATGTGCCTACTATATCCTTCAAAGCCCGGTATTCAGTATGGTTTGATGAAATCCTTAATGCATCAGGTCCTCCGAATTTGGAGAAAATTACAGAATCAGGTCCTTTGTTTGGTGTTATTTCTCCAAGACCGACAGGGATCACAGTGGATAAATCAGTGGAATTTTCATATGAGGAACTCGCTAAGGCTACTGATAACTTCAGCATGGAAAATAAGATTGGTCAAGGTGGATTTGGATTGGTCTTTTATGGAATGTTAAAAGGCGAGGTTTGTGGATATTTCTTATCATAGTTTATGAAACATAACACTTAAATAATCCTACTACTGATCACTGGTTGTGGCTACTTTGATTTGTCAATGTTTTCTCATTCACAATACCAATATAGGGCTAATGACGAAGAGCGTAGTAACTATTATTAATCAGTGGTAAACATGGAAAACAGTGTAGCTTAGAGGTGTTGAATACTACATGTTATCCGATGTTTAAATATGGTTGTTTAAGTAACCAGAGTAGCATATAAATATAGGTCAATGATTTAACTGAACAAAACACATTTAAATAAGACGATAATGTATCTTTCGCTTTTTCCTATTTCTTTAGCTTAGGCCTTCGTCTGACTTGAATGCAGAGAGCAGCAATTAAGAGAATGGATATGCAAGCATCTAAAGAATTCTTTGCTGAGTTGAAAGTCTTAACTCATGTTCATCACTTAAACTTGGTAAGATTGTTCATCACTTATAATGAATGAGAATAGCAGCATTTCCTGTATTTTTATCTTTTTCATATGGCAAGTGCCTTCTTGCAACAAGCTAAGCTCTTTGTCATTCCCTTGAAATATCAGTAATACAGAACTTTCTCTGCCAATGTTAAAGGTCAAAAGATACTTGTTTTGATTGTGAGACCATGAGATGACATTTTATTTTTAAAACACATTGTAGGTACGCTTAATTGGATATTGTGTTGAAGGGTCTTTATTCTTAGTTTATGAATACATTGAAAATGGAAACCTTGGTGAACACTTGCGTGGATCAAGTAAGTGAAAGTCTACTACTTTTGTGAAATGTCATGTAGACCATGTACTATAATCACTGTGCTGCATTTTTCTCACTCTTATAAATCCATCTCGACCTTTGACTTTCAGGCCGGAATCCATTGTCGTGGTCTACCAGGGTGCAAATTGCTCTTGATGCAGCTAGAGGACTTGAATACATCCATGAGCACACTGTTCCTTTATATATCCACCGCGATATAAAATCTGCAAATATTTTGATTGACAAAGACTTTCGTGCAAAGGTTGTGAAAATTGTGATTGTTAAACCAGAGATCAAATGTTTGGCATATAATTGCCCTGAAAGATCTTTATATTTTGAAGGTAGCAGACTTTGGACTTACAAAGCTAACTGAAGTTGGAAGTACCTCTTTCCATACACGCCTTGTGGGTACATTTGGTTACATGCCTCCAGAGTAAGCGTCTGATTCCAGGTGGCTATTCTGTCACCTGGTGAATACTGATATTGAGCACTGTCGCTCTCATAGCATAGTTGTCGATAGGAAATTTTCTGATTGTTCGTGCACTGGACTTCCCTTTTTATTATATTTTGTAGTTCCTGTTTAAAAGGGCCTTGCAAACAGGTATGCTCAATATGGTGATGTTTCCCCTAAAGTTGATGTCTATGCTTTTGGAGTAGTGCTTTACGAGCTAATATCTGCTAAAGAAGCTATTGTCAAGACGAATGAAGTTATAACTGAATCAAAGGGACTTGTTGCATTGGTACGCCTTGTCACCATCTTGTTTTACCTAATATTCCAGCCTCTAAACTACTAAGAGAATTCTGTTTTCTTTTGCAGTTTGAGGATGTTCTTCACCAGAGTGATGGTGCTAGAGAAGGGTTATGCAAAGTGGTTGATCCCAAACTCGGAGATGACTATCCGTTAGATTCAGTTTGCAAGGTAGAGTGTCCTTGTGCTTATGTTAAACATGAACAGTCTTTTCGCTTATGTAAATTAGTTGGTTATTTAATTTGCAGGTAGCTCAGCTTGCCAAGGCTTGCACTCATGAAAATCCTCAGTTGAGACCTAGCATGAGGTCCATTGTTGTAGCTTTAATGACTCTATCATCCTCAACTGAAGATTGGGATATTGGTTCCTTTTATGAAAACCAAGGCCTTGTTCATCTCATGTCAGGAAGGTAGCAATAGCAGCTGCTCTTCATTCAAGCATTCTCAACCTCATGTGCTTGGAAGTATTATCTGTTTATATGTAATGAGTATATTACCTTTTCATCTTTACTTTTCTGTAATTCTTTTTCTTTGTTTTGTAAAGCTTCAACTTTTTTCAACCAGAGGAAGTTTGGAAATTAGAACTTGATCACATTTATACAACCTTTTTCCCATTACCTCCCCTTGTCTACCCGCGACTCATAGATGGTTGCTTGATTAATAGAATATCCTCTGGTGCCCTAGGGAATACGAGTCTTCATAGGGCAATTATCCTCACTTTTTAGTCGAAAATGAATTGTTCACCAATGGACCACCAACTAAGCCAATATCTCTCATCTAACATCTGAAGTCTGAACAATATCATTCCAAATAATTGCCACCTACTGGTTTTCTATGCCAAAACAATTATTTCCTATTTCATAGCCAAATTCCATTCTTTGACTGAATCTCATTTTTTTTTTCTCGTGTGTATAATTTATTACAACATTTCCAGTTGTAACTTGTAATATATAAGTAGGTTATCTGCCATTGCACGTTTCTCCTTCCCTTTGAACCCATCAGGTCAAAATTATTTGTCTTCTTTATTAAATTGATATAGAAGAAACAACACATGAACACAAATGATTGTGTCATCATACCCCTCTGGCAAACAACAAATAAATCTGATAGGTTCTAATTATAATCCTTTGAAATGTTCATAGTATTATTATACTTGATCCAGGTGTAATGTTCAATAATTTTTTACTTCTTTGTTTTATCTCTTGGCATGTCATATTTGATGCAACCTTGACTTTGATGGCATGAAATGTTAAAAACTCTTTTTACTATATTAATGTTACCAAAATTTTACTCCATCTTTGTGAACATTGTACGTTTGGTTCCAAGTCAAGATAAAGGACAAATCTTTTGTTAGGTGACGACCAGCTTTAAAAATAATCACATATATTATCAATCATGAAGCTACAATATTTAACTCCACTTTCAACTACGTGCTCAACACCTTTGTGGGACTCAAAAAATTTAACAAAGGGATTTGAAGAATATGTAAAAAATTCAAGGGATTTGATTAGTATTTGTATATGCAAAAACAAATTATTTATTCTACTTACAAAACATAATCCTGGAATGACTTTTTTTAATTGAACTCCTTTACTTACCTTTTAGCTTAGACATTGCCTGTGTAGGATCAAACGAGCAAATTGTATTAAAATTGAACAAGTTAAAATGAGCCCTATGTATTGTTAAATGAACAAAATGATCATGGTGAGAATATAGAAATTTTTTATAATCGATCCTAACAAATTAAGGTTTGAGCATTAGTTGATTGATGAAACATTACTAATATGTGTATTGACATATAGTGCAAGACTTTTTTGCACCGGCCATCTAGTTAAGTTGACCTACTAGAACAAGCATATTTGACTTTATAAGAAGCACATGGTGTGGGTATCCTAGAAATTATCACGATAATATATTAGTATAATCGGTTAAACTGTACTGATAGTATAAAAATTCATCATGTTCTCAGTAATATAAACTTAAATCCTATTAAAATTACCTAAACACCAAAAAAAGACTTTGATAGGGAGATCGCAGGGCCCAAAAGATTTGGCATGTTTCAACATCCATGGCTAACAGCCAAGTGAATATAAGAGGCAAATAAGCCAATAATGGTGATGTGTTGACTAAAAAGGTCAACTAATGGAACCCAAAAATATATTCCTAAAATTCTCTTTCTGCTTTTCCAGGAAATCCCATGCCAACCTTTGTGCTCTAAAATTCTTTGTCTCCCACTTAAAGTAATGCATAAATCAAAGCTAAAACTCTTTTGTTTCTTGGACTAGACCATGTTAAAAATGCTAAAAAGTCAAAAACTGAAGCTGTCAAGTGTCAACTAACACAACCATAATTACATCCATTGGCATGTTTCATTCAAGATTCTAAAAGAGTTCAAAAATCTCAAGCCATTTCTCAACTAGTACAGAGTTGAAAATCAGATGATTTTTCAAGAAAATAGAAGCTTTGAGTTAGTTTTAGGCCTTTTAGTGTTAAACATTTTGTGGGTGGGGGCTAAATCCCAGTGTAGTGATGATTGTGATGCATTAGCTTCATTTTACGTATGGAATGGTGCAAACCTCACTTTCATATCTAATACTTTTTCAACCACCATCAAGAATATTCTTAGTTATAATCCTCAGATAACCAATCCAGATATTATTCAATTCCAAAGCAGAGTTAATGTTCCCTTCTCATGTAGCTGTGTTGATGGGAAATTCATGGGCCATCAATTTGATGTGCAGGTCAAGACTAGTACTACTTATCCGAGAATTGCTCGTCTTTACTGTTCGAACCTTACAACAGTTGAAAAGTTGCAGGAGTCTAACAGTTATGATCCTAACAATGTTCCTGTAAATGCAATAGTAAAGGTTACTGTCAACTGCTCTTGTGGGAATAGTCATGTGTCAAAAGATTATGGACTATTTATAACTTATCCTCTTCGCCCTGGCGAGAATTTGGATACAGTAGCCAATGATTTTAATCTACCACAGCAGTTGTTGGAAGACTATAATCCTGAAGCAAATTTCAGCAGGGGTAGTGGTCTGGTTTTCATTCCTGGAAAAGGTAATTGATCTCTTTATCAAGGGTTCTGTACTCGTATTCTTTGCATATTTTAAGTACACAATCAGTCGAATTCAGATGAGTTTGCACACTACAATCATAGTGAATTTTCGGATGATTTGACTTGTATGACAAATAGGTCGGAAGCTCAGGATTGTCACTTGAATATCTGTTACTATATGCCAAAGAGTTGGATGACGTTATAGTTTTTTTCTTTTAAATCTCTATTTCTGAAATGTATTGCAGATCAAAATGGAACTTATCCACCATTAAGGACTTCTACAAGGTACTCTCCAATCCCAATGAGCTCCTAATCACTTCTTGAATGCTATAATATTGGTAGCTAATTGTTGTTTCTTGCTTTTCACAGCTCAAAAGGTTGGCCTTTACTGCTACAGTGGCATCTTTTTCAACTTATCAAATCTAAGGTATCAAAATAGCTCTGAATGTGATTGTAATCTACTAAAAACTATGTTATTGACAGGATTTTCAGGTGGAGCAATAACTGGCATATCAGTTGCAGCAGTTCTTGTGGTTGCCCTTTTAGCGGTTTGCGTATACATTACCTTTTATAGAGGCAGGAAAACGGAGGAAAATCTTAACTTGGAACCTTACAAACACAGTAGTAATAAGCATGTTCCTGGTAATTATACTGTTTGAATCTACTGATGTATGCTTAATTACCTGTCGAACTCTATGGTGGAAATTCCTGTTTGTTGTATCTCATTTCTCTTGCCTTAGGCATGAGGAATCATCATCATCATCATAATGACTTGTTAAAGATATTACTCTATTTTCCATTTGTTAATTAGATATAAGCTTCCTGCAATCGATCCTGATTAATGATAAAATTATGTCAACTGTTCTGTGGAAGCAATGTTTTGGTTCATCCTTAGAATAAACCTTGTAGTTTCTTTAAATGACTCAGGTCAAGCAAATTTTGAGAATTCTTCAGAAGGAGGATCTCTTAATAAGGGTTCTTCTCCAGAGGTCCCGAGGATTGCTGTGGATAAATCTATAGAATTTTCATATGATGAACTTGCTAATGCCAGTGACAACTTCAGCACAGCCTACAAGATTGGCCAAGGTGGTTTTGCATCTGTTTACTATGGAGAGTTAAGAGGCGAGGTTCGTTACATTATTCTTGTTAGATTGAAATAATTAGCAATTATCCGGATACTCAGATTGGTCAGCGGTCTAGTTCTAGCTGCTTTATTATGTCACTGTTGCACCATTCACATAATTGTCTAGACTCAGCTGCATTTCTTTTCCATAGTCAAAATTACTCATGCTGCTAATCTCCTTTGTCTCAATAAAATGAAGAAAGCTGCTATCAAGAAGATGGATATGCAAGCAACAAAAGAGTTCCTTGCTGAATTGAAGGTTTTGACACATGTTCATCACTTGAACTTGGTAAATTCATTACTCATACTGATATACTATCTTTTCTTACTTGATTATAACCTCTCTGCCACCTGCTCTGAGTCTATGGGGAAAAAATCAACATCATGGACTCATGGTTGGTTGAACTTGCTAACTTCGGCGATCTTTGAACTTATTAGTAATGCAATTTACAGAAGTGGTCTGAGCCCCTTAGCTTGATAATGTGATATTTTTCATAGTGAAAGTCAGGATTGGTGATTTAGTTCTGCCATACCTGAGATTTAGAAGATGATGAATCCATTTACCTGATATGTCATAGAGAATATGAGGTAATGTTTCACATGTTGAAACCTTTGCAGGTACGTTTGATAGGATATTGCATTGAAGGATCCTTGTTCTTAGTATATGAATACATTGAAAATGGGAACCTAAGCCAACATTTGCGCGGTTTTGGTTAGTTCAGTTCTTCTCATTGCGCGAAAAATTCATGTCTAACCAAATTTTCAAATCTCTCACAGTTCCATATCCATTTTGTACTCTTCAGTTCCAGGTAAGGTACCATTGCCATGGTCTACCAGGGTGAAAATTGCTCTGGATGCAGCTAGAGGCCTAGAGTACATCCACGAACACACTGTTCCTGTTTACATCCATCGCGACATTAAAACAGCCAACATTTTGATCGACAAAAACTTTCGTGCAAAGGTATGAGAGTTCCGAAACTAGAACTATGAAAACAAAAACCATGTGTACTAATTCAAGATAATCTTTTTGCCTTGCAGGTTGCTGACTTTGGACTCACAAAACTGATTGAAACTGAAGGTGGTTCGATGAACACTCGTCTCGTTGGTACTTTTGGTTACATGGCCCCAGAGTAAGAATTTATTTCCCTATGGTATTAGTACTTATTCTATATCTCTAAACAATATCAAATTATCAATTCCTACTTGCCTTATGTGCAGGTATGGTCAATTTGGTGATGTTTCACCCAAAATTGATGTATATGCATTTGGGGTTGTGCTTTATGAATTAATATCTGCTAAACAAGCTATTATCAGAAATAGTGAAATTGCTACTGAATCAAAGGGGCTTATTGGATTGGTAACTTTGAATCATTTCTTCACTCACCAAATTTAACCTCAAAACCACTAAAAGAGTCAAACTTAACTTTTAATTGGCAATATTTTTTGCAGTTTGAGGATGTGCTTAATGAGGTTGATCCTAGAGAAGGGATATGCAAATTGGTAGATCCAAAACTTGGTGATGATTATCCCCTGGATTCAGTGTGGAATGTAAGAAAACAATATATTTTTACAAAGTGTATTAATGTTAACGCAATTCATATAACTAACCTCAGCTAGTTTGAAATTTATACGTACTCAGTGAATTGATTGATTAACGCGATTCATATAGGTGGCTCTTCTTGCCAAGGCCTGCACACAGGAGAATCCACAATTGAGACCAAGTATGAGGTCAATAGTAGTAGCTTTAATGACAATATCATCCACAAGTGCAGATTGGAACCTTGGTGAATTTTATGAGAACCAGGGCCTAGCCCATCTCATTTCAGGAAGGTAATAAATTCCAATTGGACTTACATTGTGTTACTCACAATCAGGAAATTAGAAGCAGAAGTTTACAGAAGTAACACTTGTACATTTGTTTACATCAACCATATGAGTAGGCACTTGTCTGTAATATTAAAAAATCATGCTCAACGCTAATAGCATGTTTATATCCCCTGGAAGAAGTGTATTAAAGAGTAAATAGTTAATACTATTGTTGATTATTTTTTTAACCAATAGATTTTTCCAAAGTTATTAGTTATGTATATTTGAAAATTTGTACTATAACATGTAAATGCAAACATTAATTTTTAATTATTCAAAGTATTAGATATTCTTATATGTTAATGTTCTAAATCCTCTATTCACTTTTACTTGTCTATAATATTAAAAATAGATTTTCACTTTTACTTGTCTACTATACTAAAAATACATTTTCACTTTTAATTGTTCGTTTAAGCATATCAAGAGAAATCCTTAATATTAATTATTAATTCTCCATAATATTTCTCAAAATTTAAGACTAAACATCAATTTATATAGGTACTATGATAAAATATTCATACTGATCATTGTTTCTTAAAGCACGTGCAAAGTCCAAAGTGAACAAGTAAAGTGCACAGAAGAAGTAGTATTTAGTTTACTCCTTTGGTAATATCTATAAGAGTCGAGAAAGTTTTAATAATTTTCACAAATTGTGGATTTTTCATATATATTGGAAAAGATAATTTAAAAAATTTAAATCACATGTCCAAACAAAGATTTGAACTCTAAATCAACCTAATTTCAAATCATAATTTGAAATTATGTCCAAATGATCCACAATTTTCTTTGTTTTTTTTTGGGTGTGTGTGGGGTGGGGGTGGGGGTGGGGGTGGTGGTGGTGGTGGTGGGGGGGGGGGTTGTTAGATATTTTGCTCTTCTATTACATGTCATCTTATGAACAACGGTAAGGACATATGTGCTCTCCAATAGCTGTCAAAGTCCCTCAGGTCCTTGTAAAGGAAGGATGACAAATAAACAGTGTAAAGCAAGATATTTTCAGATTTAATATTTTTCCCACTATTATTATTACATATTACCACTAGTATCAGTATCCTTAATATAGTAATTGTCAAGCAAACTGAACTTAATAGAATTATTAGAAGGACAGTTGAGTGTGAAAAGTATTCCGTGTTTATGTAAGATTCGGAAAAATAACTACGCATGGGTGGATTTATGTAAATATCCCCATTTTAGGTTATTATTTAAATTTTGAAATTACTTTAAAAGTTATACAAATTATTGAATAATATTAGACACAAATCTAATAAATATTCATACATAGGAGAGGATCAACATTATCGAAATTTTCCTATTAATATATGGATACGTATGGTATGTAAAAAATACTAATATAGATGACACCGCCTAACACAAACAACTTTTCATGTCACTGGCGAAGCACCTTGTTTGTGAACTATGGCGTCCAAAGTTTAAATCTCGGTGGCCTATAATATTTATATTTTGTTCAGTTAAGTTTTTGAAAGGTTAAAATTCTGCTAAAAACCACATTTAGCAATCTAACGTTTTCTTAAAAGATTCTGAATTACTTCTAAATGAGTTTATGAATTGATAAGATAATTATAAAAAATGGTCACTTGTCAAATACTTATTTAAAAAAATAGCGGGTGAAAATTTTATAATGTTTATAATACATGACATAGGCTGATAGGCATCAATAAAAAAATTTATGGTTCAAATTCATGATATATAGATCACACTGAAAATAAGAAATACTTAATACGCCAGTTATCTTGCAAAATCAGCGAATAACTTTACACCAACTAATATTGACAAAATATTGCACATGGACCATGGTTAAGATGGACATACAGACATGCTGAACATAAAGTCATAAACTGCCAAAAGAATAAATTACACTATTCCATTGAAAATCAAAATGACAATGTTTAAAGTATTAATATTCGATTATTGCTGGATCTTTTTATTTCCCATCGTCCCTACCATAAACCTCCTACAACGCAAACAAAAAATAACGAGAAAAAGAGAAGAGAGGTGAGATAAGATATATAATTGAACAAGTCTAAACAAGTAGGTGAACTAAAATTAATCTTCCTGTTATACATATCGAAACCTGACCTAATTTTTAATCCTTCTAACTTTTAGTGCATGCGACTTCTTAATTATTATTTTTTTGAAAAATATGTAAATGTTTTACTTATTTTCTTGAGTTTGGTTTGTAAGTAAAAGATATATTTTTTAAAAATAAAATAATTTAGACGAATATTATAGAATGTGGAGTTCGGGGTGAGGATGAGGTATGGTGAAGGGTAGAAAGGACACAATTTAGAATACATTTTGTCTATTTTTAGTAAAAAATAAATAAAATATTTTCCTCATTTTTAAGAAATTTATTTTTCTTTCCATAAAAAAATTGATTTTAAAAAATTATAAAATATTTAAGTGTTAATTTTACAACCTTTAAATCTACTATTTTTTAATTACTGCTAATTAAAATTTAATTACTAGTATTAACAACTTAATATTAATTTATAAATTAATTATAATTTATTAAGTGATTATATAATATTATCATGAGAATCAAGCTTACAACAAGTAATTATCAATTACTACATTTAAGGGGTTTACTTAACTCATACACGTCACCTCCACCCCTACATACCCATGTTTCTCTTACAACGGATTTCTCTTTCAAGTTTTTCATTATTTTTCAACATCATTCAAACAAAAATCATCGATATTCTGTTCTACATTATCACGTAAGATGTATATTCATATTCTGATCTACTGGCTTAAAATTTCTAATAATTCTTTACAAATATCTGAAAGGAAATCTGTAATGCCAATTAAAAAACACTCAATTCAATATTTCGTTGTTTTTTCCTTCATATATAGTATAGTGATTGTAATTCTGAAGTGCCCATTTATTTTACTCACCTTCCTGCCCCAACTAATTTTATAAATTCCACCTTTATTTCTCCACTCCTTGTGGGCCTTCTTTCAATGTTGTATTTATAGCATGCAAATTTTATTTTATTTTTTTAAACTAAGTGATAATTGCATTTTTTATTTCTAGTGTATGAGGACCTTTGTGATATTTTATTAAAAGCGTATTTAATTTTGAATTAATTTAAAATGTGTTTTTGTCCTCTTACAAAGGACATGTGTTATATTTAAATATTTTTAGAATGATATTAACCTTTGAATATAAAATAATAATATAAATTTAACATATACAATTATACATAATTAAATGATTTTACTATGGATACATTTTTACGATTCACAATTAGAACTCAAAATTAAATAATTATTTGCAAATATTTCAAGGGCTGAAAGCGCAAATTTCCCATTTCTTACTTACCAATCAACCACCCCATCCAACTTTTAAAAGATGTGTCGTTCCAATTAAACTATTTTCCCCTTTTATAGTTTCAACAGTTACTATCTCCTGATCTTTTAATAAATTTTTCATAAACATTTATACACATTTTTGAAATGAAACATATATAATGTATTGATCGTTTTCAGAACATGTGATGACGAATCTATCGTATTCAAAAATATGTAATTGAACCAATATGAGTTATGGTCCGGGTGCTGGGACTGCTTCAGCCTTAATCAGAGGTTTCGTTCAAGTTATGGATATATAAAAAATCATGTTGGAAGCGTCACTCCCTTAATGACTCCTCTGGTGTACCATTTATTGTGTTCACGATAAACACTGAGTAGCCAAGTGCGGAGCAGATAACAACTGAAAATATCTAAATACCGACTGAGAAATAAAAAATAATATAAATAATATATGATAGAAAAGATAGGATATATAGAAAAAGGAAAAGAGGAATTGAATAATACTTTTTTGGATGCTTTGAGTAGTTAAAAGCTCAACCTCTCTTCTCCTTCAAGTTGTCTCCTCTTCAAGAATGAACTAAAAAAAATTACTCATTGGAAAAGATTCATTAATGCAATTGTTTATGAGAAAGGGCAAAAAGGGGAGAGGTAATACAGAAGGATTGATTAAGTTCTAGCTGTCCATTATGAAAGTGCTTTTCCTTTTTCTCAAATTGTTTTTTTTCCTTCACAAAAAAAATAAATAAATAATACAAAATAAAATGAGAAAAGTAGTGGAAACATGATAGTACTAAAGACCATAATGATTTTGCTGACCATGCATGTTTGTTGCTTAATCCCCAATTTCCCGTTGAATATATATTCATTAGTCTCAACAATGTTTGTCTTCACCATGAAGCAATTTTAATCAGCTATCTTACTATTATTATTATATTTTACAAAAACCACAAATGACAGCCAAACAAAAAAACGCAAACGCAAACAAAGAAGTAATACTCGATTGAGGTCAATTTATGGATTACTCTCTCGGTCCTTAATTATTTGTTCACTTTTGAATTGACATAGTGAGTTTACCATTTTACCCCTATTAATTATGAAGTAGATCAATTAAAAACTTAAGATTTTCAAGAAGTTCAAAATAATTAATTGATGGTATAATAAGTAAAAAAAACTATTCTTTCTTGATTTGTCAAAATGGACAAATAATTAGAGATAACTAAAAAGAAAACGTGGACAAGTAATAAAATTTTGACAAACTTAGATAATGGAACAAATCACACGTGGCCTCGTATAAAAAACACACATGGAGCTATTCTGGGCCATATGCTAATTTTCAACCTTTTCAAAATTTTGTCTTCTTTTACTTTATTTGTTTCGACTATTTCTTTAAGAAAAGTTCTGACTAGTACAAAAATCTCCAAGTACAAGTTACCTCAAGGGTTCATTACAATAGTCAAATACCACGAGTCATGATTGATGTTAATTTCTCCCTACATTATATATTACTCGACTCATTTTGATCTAACATTTTTTTATATTTTAAAATTTTATAATTTTTTTTTATATAGTCATTTAATGTTAAGAATCGTATGAGAAATAATAAAATAAAATATTTATTTTAATATATGAATCAATTAAAATAAAAAGAAGGAGCATCAAAAATCATATTTTGATTACAAACGCTATTCTTAACCTTATCGATTAAAACATGCGAAAATTCAATTGCCAAAAATAGATTTCTTTATGAGTTTTCATAAATAATAATGATTAATGGGAATAGAGAATTAGGAAGTCGACATAATATTCCCGCGTCCAAATAGTGGAATATAATATTTTCCTTTAAGAAAAAGGTGGAATAATTTCAACTTTTTTTTTCCTTTTCATTTTGGGCATCTTCTTTATGACTAACCACGGGTACAACACATAATTAACGCGAGATTATCATGGTTCTGTCGCTTTGTTTTAATTATTTATTTTTAAAATAAGAAATTAAAAAAATAGTCAATACACCAATTGCCACACCGTTCACCAATAACTAGAATCCACGAGCACCGTATATTCAACTTGCAATTATTTTTAATATAAGAATTTGTGTGATACACGATCAATATTATATTAAAAGAAGTTATCTGTTTAACTTTTTCAATTAAAAAATATTATAAATCACAATTTTGATTTGATAGAAAAATAATTTCAAAATTTTAATAAAAAATACGTTCTTTGAATCTTGAAAAGTAAAAGCTAACAAATAAATTAAAATGGGGGGAATAACTATTTTCATGTGTTGTGATTATTAATAAAGAAAACATTTGCTAACAACAAAAACGGTTGCATTATTTCAGAGTCAGAAAAAGAAAGGTTTGTGACATGTCGGCACGCCTTCGAAGACTCCAAAAATATCGTCTCTGACGTTATCATTATCAAAACTAATTATTAATACCAACTTGTTCAATTTCTCATATTTATCTAAAGCTCTTTGGCATTCCAAATAATTTTCAATTTCATTGATTCATTAAAACTTTTAGTGCTGGATAATGGATACTTGACTGGGTAAATGGCTAGTCAAGTTTTTGTTGGGTAATTAATTAGTTCATTTTAAAACGGGTAACCTAATAGGGAAAATAATGTGGGAAATAAAAAAAACATATCACATATGCTGCTAGCTTTTTCTATATTTGTCAGCGCAATAATATAATATTCAATGTAATCTTACAAATTAAATTTGCAAAAATAAAATGTATACATATCTCATCTTTATTTTGATGTTGTATAAATATATATATTATACATGTAGTCTATGATAAAAAAAATATATGCATATCTTATTTTTATTTTTCAAGTTTTATATTAATATCGTGCAAATAAACAGATCATAAAAATGTATTCTCTTATTCAGTTAGGTCATGCATATAGGCTCTAGCACTGTCATAAAATTCGCGTGTTTAACTAATAATTTTACACTTCCAAGAATGAAGAAGAATATAAAAACAACAAAAAAGAAAAAGAATAAAAGTAAATAATGAAAGACAGAGAAGAACATCAAGGGACCTAACAAGATCAAATATTGTACTTCTAGCATCAAAGTTAACAGCTCTAATAGTATGAAAAACTAAATTTCTTTGCTATAGTTTTTTTTATAAATATACACTTAAACTCAATAATAATTACTAAAATGTAATCTCTATTTTCCCACTTTATATTCACTTTTTATGATTAATTACTAAGTATTTGAAAAGTTAAATGCTAAAAAATATTTACTTTGATCACAACTTTTTATATAATTTTAAAATTTATAATATTAATACTTGTAGAACTTTTTTCATCAAATTAAAAATTATGTACAATTTACGTTAAATGAGTAAAAGTATTGATAGCCAAGTTGAGACGACAAAAAAAGTTAAAAGATTTGACTATCGACCTCAAAATTTCTTTGTTATTTTTGTTTTAAATAAAGGGACAGTTCATACGACCATAATAATATATGTTTAGCATAGTATTACGAGTGGAGTCTAAAAAAAGTATATTAAAATTCTATTCATTTTTATTTTTCATTTATTTTTAAAATAAATTTTTATTTTTACGTGTTATTTTTGACATATCAAGAAAATAAACTCCATTTTATTTTTCAAGACCCATTACAAAATATTAATTAATAGGGATAGAATTGTAAAATATCTGTATAATAATTATTTTTTCGTAACAAGGGTATCTAATGAAGTAATGACAAATAAAAATGAACCGAAATATGTATTTATTTAATTTAAATACAATAGAAGAAGCCATTTTATGTAATTTTCAAAACATTAGGGGCTAACGGGGTCCACAACAGCAAAGAAGTAGCCGTTATAACCCACGTGGACCTTTGCCGACAGCCAAAGTAAAGAAACTTCTCAATTTCAACAAACTCTTCAATACAGTAATAAGATAATAATAATAATAAAAATTAATTCCAGTATTAATACGGAGTACTAGTATTTATTTTATTTTATTATTATTTTCTTTACACAATTGAAGAAGAGAGATCGATTCGTTTTTTTTTTTTCTAAAAGAAAACAAAAAAAACGTTACCATCATTCCTCTTTAACAGTAAGTATCTGTGCTGAAAAACACTTTTGCTTTCATCTTTCAATCCTATCCCAAACACAGTTCTTGGTCATCTGTGCAAAAAAGCTTCAATTTTCTTGCATCGTTTTCATTATTATCCAAAACAGTGCAAGAAAAATATCTACATTATATATTACTTCTTGATTTGGTGGGTGGAGTTCTGTTGAAAAAAATCAACTTGCCACTTTCTTTTCTTGAATAATTTTCCTATTATGGTGAATACACTTTCTTCTCATTATTATCCAAAATAGTGCAAGAAAAACTACATTACGTTATTGTGACTCGGTGGGGTTTTGGTTTATTGGGGGTTGGAGTTTAGTTAAAGTATGAGAAAGGGGGAAAAGTGACAACTTTTGGCTTTTATGGAGCTTTGAAGTTATTGTACTTCTCCGATCGGCTATTGTTACTCTGCTTTTCTGTTATACTTAGCAGCTCTGTAATTGGAAAGTGATATTTAGTCACAACTCACAATAGTATGATCTTCTTTCTGCAACTTTTTTTTTTTTGTGTTTGAAAAGGGTTTTTGTTGATGAATTGGGGTTTTACTTTTGCTTGATTTCAGTGAAGAAGTAAGTAGTTTTCTGAATGTGTATAGGATTTCATGTGTTTCCTAATCTCTGATTTGTGATGATCTTTTGTGAATTCTGACAGTTAAGGACCTTTTTTTTTTTTTTGCCATTTTGGGTTGCTGATTCGATTGATTTTCTACCTTTCTAATTTGTGTATTTTGAATTTCCATTTCCCCAGATTCTCTGAGTTAAAGAAATAGAGATGATCAGTTTTATTTTTGCATATTTGTTTTGTCAATTAGGAGTATATGGTAATTTTGATAAGTCAAAGTAATCCAACTGAAACTTGCTTTAAACAGTAAGTTGGTAAGAAGCAGCTGAGTGTAGAAATATAAGTTCATATTATAACAAAAGTGGAAAGGAAGTATTTATCTTTGTCCATAGATGTTGATACTATAAATTATGTTTGGCAAGGGTTTATAGAAATATAAGTTCATGTTATAACAAAAGTGGAAAGGAAGTATCAGGGATTGTGTTTCATAGTGTGAGGGTTTCCTGTTTGAGAGGTTAAAACTTGCAGCAGCCTATATTTACTTTGATTGTTCTGTCTCGTGGCTTAATTAACCTTCGGAAGGGAGGGAGTTGATGGGAAGATCCGGAAGTGTATGTTTTCCTTGTTGTTTACTTGTTATCTAAGCAGGACATTGACCTTCTCTTTACAGGTACTAGATGGCGACGCTTGGAGATATAGGCCTTGCAGCAGCAATAAATATTATATCTGCCTTGATCTTTCTTGTGGCATTTGCAATTTTGCGGCTCCAACCATTCAATGACAGAGTTTATTTCCCCAAATGGTATCTTAAGGGGTTGAGACACAGTCCCACCCGCTCTGGGGCATTCGTCGCCAAATTTGTTAATGTTGATTGGAGGGCATATATAAGGTTTCTGAACTGGATACCAGATGCACTGAAAATGCCTGAACCTGAGCTTATTGACCATGCAGGGTTGGACTCTGCTGTTTATTTGCGCATATACTTGCTAGGGTATGGCTTTCTAATTATTGATATCACTATTGGAGTCATAAAGCATATCTGTGCGATTGTTTATAGTAACCACGTTTTTAATACCATTCTATTTTTCTTTGGTAAACCATGTTGATTAACATGTTAAAAATATTGTATTATTACCATTTTATTTTGCTTTTTCATGTTAACTGGATTCATTTCGGATAAGAATGATTACACGGTGCATCCAATATGAAAATATCAGAATAGACCCTATAAAATGAGCTGTTATTTGAAAGATTGCTCATTATTTATCTTTTTATTTTTAAGTGAATGTGACTGTTAACTCATAAAAAATAACGAAGGTGACTGACTGTATTTCTATTGAGGATCTTTGACGTCTCATTTGATTGTATCAATAATAGGGTTGACTTCAAACAGTGACAATAAAATAGAAAACCACATATCTGCTGTCATAACCAGGCCAGGGGACTGCTTTCAACCTGGAGTTTAGAACTTGAAACATCAATACTTTAGTTTGTTGCTTCAATCTCTTGATTCACGTGAAAATCCGAAAAAAACCGAACATACTGGATTATCTTATCTTCTTTGTTGGCTGTTTGCTTATACTGTAAAATCAAGATAAATAGGTGGTCATGTTTTTCAAATAGTTTCTTTTTTGACTTCTTAAATGAATGGATGAGGATGATCCTTATAATGGAAGGGGATTTAGGTGTCTTAACATTCAATCAGTCATCTATCCAATCGAGGTTGCAACAGAAACAGGAAAAAGAATCAGCACGATAGCAATTTCAATGTTGTATACTTCATAGCTCCTTTGTTCCTACTAAAGCGTATTGCCTTTGTTGCCTTCATTCTATTTTGAGAAACTGGGCGGTCTGTGATGATTACTGCTTCTTGATTTCTGCAGGCTAAAAATCTTTGTTCCTATAACGTTGCTTGCGTGGGCTATCCTGGTACCTGTAAATTGGACAAATAGCACTCTGACAAAATCCGACTTTACTTATAGTGACATTGATAAGCTTTCCATTTCAAATGTTCCGCTTGGATCACTCAGGTTTGGAGATTTATCTTTCAAAATTTTGAAGAATTTGATTCAGTAGATTTGCCATTACGAAATTGTTTTTATCAACATTTAAGTCGTCTTTGATGTAGGTCTTACGTCTTGAAAACTTTTGACATCTTCCTCTTGTTTTTAGTTTTAGCATGATGCTATTTGTAGCCTGTTTTGCTTTTGCATGACCTTGACTAGATTTCTTCTTGGGCCATGAATGAAAATTCTGCAGTTAATGCTTCAATTTTTTTCAAATTTCTTGGCGAGACCACCTAGTAACTTGCTAACAAGATTTGTCTTGGACATGTTTTGAGGATCAGTCATTGAATGGGTTTGCAGTCCATATTTAGTGTCCCAGTTCTGAGATATGTTACCCATTTTACATTCCAGCTTGAAAGTCCATATTTAACATTCAAGTGAAGTTATCTACTAGTAAAATGGCAATACCCTTTTGCTTACCTTTAAAACTCCATAGCGTAATTCTTATTGACCTGGATTTTTGCAGGTTTTGGACTCATATTGTAATGGCTTATGCCTTCTCATTCTGGACCTGCTATGTCTTAAAAACTGAGTATGCAAAAGTTGCAGCCATGAGGTTGCAGTTTGTCGCCTCTGAAAAACGTCGCCCCGACCAATATACAGTATGTATCACCTTACTTTTCGAAATTGAACATCGAAATTCTTCTGTGTTAGCAAATTTAGTTTCTGGAAAATGTATTTAATCACTGAAGCATTTGTTCTCTGCAAATGCATTATGTTTTTACAAAGTTGATAGACAGATATTGAAGCTGACATGGCATTTCTCCTTAACTGTTCAAACTTAAGAGAGTAATTAAAGTTTCTAAGTTTCTGCTTTCTTGTTTGTGTTTGAAATTTGCAATCTTAATCTTCTCATGGTTTGCGTGATTTGGTGGCTAATCTATGGATAAATATATTATGAATTTCTGGAAGGCAGTGAACAGATGACAACTTCATGTTTACCTCTGTCAACTTTTTGGTCTCTCTATAGGTGGACTGAAACATTGGTTCTTCTTGAAATTATTTGCAATACTCCTTTATGCATTTGATTAGTTTGAAGCAATAAATTAAGCCTGTAATTTCCCCAAGTAAGTGGTTAATATATTTAGAACTCCTTTGCCCAATAATTTTTTTGTGTGTGTGGGTGGGATTGTGATAGCCATAAACAGAATTAGAACTGAAAATTTTAATTTCTTTTGACCTCTTTCGTCCATTTAACATACCCCCAAGCTGCATGTCTGTTTAAACTTTAATTTATCTAATGTGTGGACAGAGATCTTCTGAGCTTTTTGAAAGCAGTTTTCAGGAGACAAAACATTACTTTTACCTCCTTGAATTATGAGGTGGAGTGAAGCATGTTGGCGTTTTTTTTACAATTTCATTGATAACAATTACTCTTTTATGTATATTAGCCATTTGATTAAGCAGTAGAAAGAAAACTTAATAGCAGAGGGTCTCGTAACTTCCATTTCCGCCCCCCTTGATGGTATGGCTCTGTGGTGCATTTTTGTTCATATCTTAGTCAAAACCTTATTAAGAGAGTAGATGACATCAGGGTAAATTGTTAGAAGGGAGTGTAGAATAAGTGTATTTTCATGGGGTTTTCACTAAGTCTTACATTACATATAGAAAATATGTATTTACATTGATTTTACTAGTGTAATTTTTTTTTCTGGAGAGAGCTAATCATAGTAGCATTCTTAGGTTTTGACACATTAGTGCTCCTTCTGAGAACTTAATTTGAGGAACATATTTACAAGTATCTAGATTTTTGTTTTGAATAAACAATAGACTAGTTTACGTAGAATGAATATACCTCATTTCCTATTGCCATCTGAATTTTTTTAGCCTACTATCTTGAACAATGTGACTGCAACGTTTATCTACATTACTTCTTGTGCTAAAATTTGATTATTACAGGTCCTTGTTAGGAATGTTCCGCCTGATGCTGATGAATCAGTTAGTGAATGTGTGGAGCACTTTTTCCTGGTTAACCATCAAGATCATTATCTCATGCATCAGGTTCGAACTTGGTGGAATACAAGTATCTCATGTTGTTTTACTGATAAAAAAGACAAGTATCTCATATTGTTTTGAGGAAGTGATATATTTTTTGTTGTTGAAATTATGCTCCTTGTTGAAGCCCCCAAATCTTTGGGCTAGTGATAACTGATAAGACGCGGTGCGTGATGAGTGGGTTAGGCACACGTCACAGTTCGACGCCATGTTGTATTGTGCACCATCTCATTTAAATTCTTAAGTGGTTAGACGATGTCACATTTTTATGTAGCTTCTAATACTCCCTACCATGTAGATGGATGGATGTAGTTTAGGTTGGTATATCTTCTCATGGCCAAGTAATCACTTCCTCAAGGCCAGTAGCCCTTGGCTGGGATGGGAACAGAACTGGCTATACTCTTTTGAGACGAGACTGTAAACATGTTTGGTATGTCAGTTCCATAGATATGGAGTCTGTCATTGCTTGTTGTGTATATTTCTTTATGTGTTCTTCATCTTGAGATATAAGCATTTCGTCGATTACTACGCCCTTCCTCGTCTCTGGGTGCCTAGGTATCCACCGTAAGCCTTTCCTCGTTTGAACCTCGCCCTTCACAAGAATTCTTGAACAGCAAACAACCAGTTCAGATATTCACGACCAAGAAGTACTGGATTCTCTTTTGGATAGGCCTGAAAGGAGAATGAAGGCTGGAATGCCAACAGGCGTCTATTTGTTCATCTTGACATATAATCACAAACAGGAAGAAAAAAGAAATTGACTGATTGAGGACACCACTTCGTGCTTCTTTTTTTCAACTTAGAAACTTTCCGTATAGGCTTTCTCGAACCAATCATTTTAGTTCATCATGGGAAGGGGCACTAGTAAACTTCAATTTAGATTATCTTTTTTTGTGAACTTTTCATAAGCTAATCCACCAAATAGTTTTTTTTTTAATTATATATATGGCATCCGGGCAACTTGTGCACACCTTGACTAATTGTATGCGGTACCTGCCTCCTACCATAGGTACCTCGTAACTCTATCAACCAAGACTTGGACAACTGCAGTAGGAATCACCTAGTGTGTGCCTAGGATTCTCAACCCACTTCATTGACAATTAGGCCATACCCATGGGTGCAATCGACCAATTAGGTTTCCACTCTCAATGTAAAAGCAAATAACAAAATTGAAGAATTATCTTACATTGAGCCCACCCAAATGTCAATATCTGCATTAGTGTTGCTTATTACTGCAGTAGGAGGAATTAAGGACTTGTGGCTTAGCATAAGGAAGACAGCTAGTTCTGCAGGCGAAGAGACATTAGGAACTAAAATGGAGTATTTAAAGTAGGTTATGATGTGACAACATAACACGATAGAAGGCAAAGATCTGAATATAACTTAAAGGTAGGAATAGAAGTATGAATCATCCAGTATGGATTTTTTGTGTGAAACCTTCTGAAAGTTTTGTCAGTCATCTTAAAAGCTATTATCTATTTTAGTAATTGAAATTTCAACTTACAATTTTTTCTGTAAGTTTGTTCTTTTATCATCTTTCTCATACGTAATGCTTCTTTTCATGGAAGTTATCAGCATTTATTATCCCTTGTAGAATAATTATTCATCAGTTTGTGCTCTGATAGGCTGGTCTTAGATTTTACTATCCCCTGATAAAAGTTACTTGCATGTTAAATATTTCAGTAGGATGGACTAAAATTTTCTTATTATATGCAAATTTTTCATTTATGCTTTATTTTTTATGTTGATATGCTATTTCATCTTTATTCACTTACTTGGATTTTACTATAGGGTGTTTATAATGCCAACAAACTAGCAAAATTGGTGAAGGAGAAGAAGAGTAAGCAAAATTGGCTCGACTATTACCAACTTAAGTACTCTAGGGATCAATCAAAACGGCCTATGATGAAGGTATGGATGTGTCCCTGATCCTACAGATTGTTATTTCTAACTTCTAATATCATAAAGTATGTTCCGAGGCTCAATTAGTACTTCTTTAACAAAGTTTTGTCTACCTCTAAACCAGTTGTTTCAGTACGTTCTTTTTTAAAATTTGCAGACTGGTTTCCTTGGATGCTTTGGAGCAAAAGTTGACGCAATCGAGCATCAGATTGCTGAAATTGAAAGATTGACAAAAGAGGTAAATACCACACTTTAATCTCCCTAAATAAGTTGAAAGATTTCCAATCGACATGTTATTGACTTAACTATCCTTCTTAGATCAGAGGCGTAGAGTGTGTCATGGAGAATACTGTGAATGACTTGCTTTCAGCACCACTGAACATTGATATGTTATATGTAAAGGATCTCCACTGGAAAAAGAAATTCCTGTTTACTAGAAAAGGATATCCCATTGGACATAACTTTCCTTTCCATTAACCATTTATCTGACATTGGTACATTCACAAATGAGTCTATTCTCTTTTTCTTGTCTTTTCCTGTTGTCCCTTTCTTTTTTCTGTTTTTGGTTGATGCTGTTGGATAGAGGGTGTGGAGGTAGAATATTAGGGTAGAAGATTAGTAGGAGGGCGGGCATATTTCTTTTCCATTCTCAGAGTATTAATATTCTTCTTTTTTTTCCCCTAATCTTTAGATTTCTCTTACTACTTGTGTTTCTTTAGCGTCGATATCCTATTTTCTTACTGTCGTTTCTGCTTGTTACTTCTGCTTCTTTTTCATGTCTATCGGAAACAACCTCTTTACCTTCTCAAGGTATAGGGGTAAGGTCTGCTTACACTCTACCTTCTTCAAACCCCACCGGTGGGATTACATTGAGTTTGTTCTTGTTGGTCGATGCTGTTGTCTTCCTTTGCTTTGGTTGTATTATTTGCTGTCGTTACTGTTCACTTCTCCTTTTGTTTCTAGCATGTCTTCTTCACTTCTGTATTTCGTTTCGATACTTGATTTTGATATGCTTTACTTGAGACGAGGGCCTATCGGAAACAATCTCTCTACCTATACAAGGTAGGGGTAAGGCCGCATACACACCACCCTCCCCAGACTCCCCTTAGCTGGATATGTTGTTGTTGTTATGCTCTAATTCTACTAATGCCTTGGTCTGACTTTACTTGTAGATAGCTGAAGAGAAACAAAGGGTAGAAAAAGACCCAAAGTCTACCATGCCTGCATCATTTGTCTCCTTCAAATCGCGGTGGGGTGCTGCTGTTTGTGCACAAACACAGCAATCCAGAAATCCAACCTTGTGGTTGACAGAATGGGCTCCAGAGCCACGTGATGTATTTTGGAACAACCTGGCAATCCCCTATGTTTCTTTGACAATTAGGAAGCTCATTATTGCTGTTGCCTTCTTTTTTCTGACATTCTTCTTCATGATCCCAATTGCATTTGTCCAAACCCTTGCCAGCCTTGATGGGATTAGGAAGAAAGCACCATTTCTGAAAGTTATCATTGACGAGTGAGTACCACATTACACACTTGTTCTGAAGTCAGCCTCATCTCTCATTAGTTTTTGTCGTACTCATGATCCTTGATGGAGATATGATACCTTGGTTCATTTATTTCAAGACTCTAGCGACAATAATTCAAAAAACAAAATGTATATATGGTTTTTGGTGCAATCAGGTCTACTCAGAAGATACTATATATGTCCTAGACACTTTAAGTTTTGCTCACTTGTATATATGGTTTCAGTACAACCCATTACTGATTTGTGCTTACTACATACAACCGTTACCGTCTCAAAAAAAAAAAAAAAAAAACAATTCAAAAACAAAATCTAGTGGTTTGTCTTTTTACTTTTGTTCATTTATTTTAAGTCTCGTCGTGAGAACAATTTCAAAAACAAATTTTAGTGGTTTGATATTTGTGAGTACTTACTGGAACTTGTTTGGCATTGGTGAATTGTGCATAGTTAGTTTAGCTTTGTATGATTTGTGTCATCTCATTCCTTGAGATACTTAATCGCTTTTACATTATGTCATCACTCACAAAAGAGATGTTTGACAAAAGTGTGCAACCTAGAAATGCTATTTTCTATTTACGTAGTGAGATGATCCATGGATTTCTGATTTCTTTGTGATGCTAAATTGACATGACAAGTCATACACAGCAATGAAACACTATCTATATATGCTGAATTTACTCTGCTAGTGGTTCTTCCAAATTCTTTTCTTGCTTTCTCCTCTCCTTTTTGGTCTTTGTGCTGAGGAATGGGCTGTTATCTGAGTTGGTATTTTTGCCAATCATGATCATAGAAGTCATGCACCAGCTTATCTCAAATGTAGGTTTTTTTTATTACTCTTTTATGCCTAATAATTCTACTGATTTATCATGCAGACCTTTCATCAAGGCGTTCATCCAAGGTTTTCTACCTGGGATTGCTTTGAAGATCTTTCTCATATTTCTGCCAACCATATTGATGATGATGTCCAAATTTGAGGGCTGGCTAAGCATATCAGCTCTAGAGAGGAAATCTGCATCTAAATACTACATCTTCACTATTGTAAATGTGTTCCTCGGGAATATAATTGCAGGAGCTGCATTTGAACAACTAAGTACCTTTCTCAATCAGTCAGCAAACCAGTAAGTTGTTTTAGCGAAAATATGTTACTAGATTTGTATCAGCCTTTCTTTAACTTGTGAATCAATGGGGAAATTTTGGGAATGCAGTTAGAGCCTGCTTCTGATGCAGCAGGTAGAACAATGGCCACGTAAAGAGTGTTTCTCTATAATGTCCACATAGATGTACTCTTTCAGTTCTGCTCTAATAAATTATTCAGAATAGTAAAGTGCAACGTCTTTGGACACCCGTATGGAGTTAAGCATGACATTACTGAGATATCAGTTTCTGTGAAGCTCAGTCCTCTAGGGACTTGGTGAAATGTTTAATTGGGGGGGGGGGGCAGTTTTCTAGTCCTGGTGAAGTTGGGTGTTACAAGAAAACAGTAGATATGACCAGTGGTGGATGTAGGGGGAATTATACTGTATATATAAAGTAATTTTTTATATTTTTTATGTATAGATATAGATTTTTATTATGAACATAAGACGAGGTTGGCTTAGTGATTTGGAGGTTCAAATTTCACCTTGAGGTTCCAAGTTCAAGAGGTTGACACTAGATTTTTATTTTTCGAACTCCCTAAGTGAAAATCCTAGATCCGCCACTGGATATGACCTATTAGAAGAAAAGAGAAGGAAACAATTCATATAGGCTAGGCTTCCTCGTTACAGATGGCCTCAACCTATACGTGAAAATGGTCATGTAGACCATGCATGCTATCATGTATTTATGCTCTTTTACTATCCTAAAACCCATGCTGATTAATGAGATCATTCCTGTTCAGAGTTCCATGCCTGTAATAGAGTTAAATTTCTAGTTCTAGAAGTATGTTACATGGACTTCAGTATGAATGTTGGATACTGGTATTGTGTTTGGCAAGTTCCTTCAGTTTCTAGAAGATTTTCTTTGCACTTGAGAGGATCGTTAAGCTGTCCTATACTTGAAAAACTTAATTGTAGTATATTTAATAATGTCTTATATTGTTTGTCAAAAAAAAATAATGTCTTATATTGTCTTCTTGAATATGAGGAAATACATCTTTAGTCGATACTAGTCCTATTGGTTCCAGCCAATATATGATTGGTTCTTTATGTGCTGATTCTGCTATTATATTCGCATTGCCAGTGTTATCCTATATTCCTATTAGGTGCATTCCAAGTTTTCCATTCTTTGGCAAGTTTTGCAAGTCCATATCCTTTTACTTAAGAGCATCTTGCTATAAAATTTCCTATATTTTCTGCAGAATCCCTAAAACAATTGGTGTCGCAGTTCCTATGAAAGCATCCTTCTTCATAACCTACATAATGGTTGACGGGTGGGCTGGTATTGCTGGAGAGATCCTAAGGCTGAAGCCGCTAATATTTTACCACTTGAAGAACTTTTTCTTGGTTAAGACGGAAAAAGATAGAGAAGAGGCAATGGATCCTGGAAGCGTTGGTTTCAACACAGGGGAACCACAGATACAATTATATTTCTTATTGGGGCTTGTCTATGCTGTGGTCACACCATTTCTGCTTCCGTTCATATTGGTCTTCTTTGGCCTTGCATATGTGGTATATCGTCATCAGGTTCGTCTTCTCTCTTCCTTCTTATGCCTATATCTCACTGTGTTTAGTCTTTAGAACATGTGGTGCTTTATTACATCATAAAGTTTTCAAATATTACAAACTTGCTGAGTCGTCATGCTATCGTGCCCAATTTTTCTCAAAACGGGATTCAACGACATGATAACTCTCTTTAGGATTTAGAAAGCGAAGAAGAATAGCCACTTAGCGAATTAAAGACACATTAGAGCACCATTCTATACTAAATACAAATAACTTCAATTAACTGTGGTTTCCAACCGGATTTTGCAAATTATGTGGGGGGAATTGAATGTGGCAAAACAAAGTCATTAATTATATAATTATGGAAAATTGTGATAAAAGATATATAGAAGATTTACTTGAGCTAAGAAAACAAAATAGATTCTTAATTAACTACACCAGTTTGAATGAAAGGATAATAGAACAGGATACTTGTTTAATAAAATATCTATGTGATAAAATAAGCAAAACTTTGTTTACTTCCTATGTGTCAATTTGTTTGTCGTACTTTCCTTTCAGTTTGTTTTAAAAACAAGGCATCTTCTCTAATTTGACAACTCTTTAATTTCAATATCCCACATGACATGTTTAAGACCACAAGATTAAAGGGTCATTATACATATGTTTTTGTTTATGACCACAAGATTCAAAGATCTAATTTACTTTCTTAAATTCCGTGTCAAGTCAAACTAAGACAAATAAATTGAAACGGATGGAGTATCTCATAAGGCACTTCATTGTACTTGTAACGATTATGGTGTCAAGACAAAGTTGATATCCTTTGAACTAGTTATGTATGCCCTACTTCTACTTAGATGACATGCTAGGGATTACATCAGCTTTGATATTGGGATCAGACATGGAATTCCATGGGTTCAAGGATATGTTGTGTTCATATGATTGCCGTTTTAATGTTGTTTCTTAGGCCACATGCAACACTACATTAACTGGGGTATTTGTTAACTGGTAGTATTAATTCTTTCCACATTTAATCCAGACAAAGGGAATGTGGAGTACTTGTACTGATGGAGATGCATGTAGTTGAGGGAGCTAGGGATTACATCAGCTTTGATATTGGGATCAGACATGGAATCCCATGGGTTCAAGGATATGTTGTGTTCATATGAATGCCGTTTTAATGTTGTTTCTTAGGCCACATGCAACACTACATTAACTGGGGTATTTGTTAACTGGTAGTATTAATTCTTCCCACATTTAATCCAGACAAAGGGAATGTGGAGTACTTGTACTGATGGAGATGCATGTAGTTGAGGGAGCTGTACAACTATCCTTGATATAACATACCTTTTGCTGTTCCATGCCAATATGTAATTAACAGGTCTCCACAGTAGGTCTATTATTAATATATCATGGTAGTGTCTTCTATTCATTTACTACTTCTCTATGGTATGTTTGTGTACTTAATTTATGTGTGATCTTTGTTCCTCGTGAAGATGAGGAGAATTAATTTACTTAATTCATGACCAATTTCACATCTCCTAGTAAAATTTATTATCAGTCACCTATTTGCATATACTAATGCTACTGATATGAAATTGTTGATGTAGACATGGTTGCATGTTACAATTAGCTTTTTCTGATGGATTCTTTTCCTGAGACCTTGCAGATTATAAATGTATACAATCAGGAGTACGAAAGTGCAGCAGCATTCTGGCCAGATATTCATGGACGTATAATTTTCGCACTGTGCTTTTCTCAGTTATCTCTACTGGGCTTGCTAGGTACAAAACATGCTACTCAGTCAGCACCTTTCCTGATTGCCCTTCCAGTGCTGACCATCTCATTTCACTTGTACTGCAAAGGTCGTTATGAGCCAGCTTTCACCAAATATCCGATACAGGTGTGTGTGGAAGCACATCTTGCAAATAAGAACTTTCACTGTTACAATAGTAAAGCTCATTCTTTTTTGTAAACATTGGCAGTGTTTCCATTTTGTTTTTCTTCAAATGTCTACGACTAAGGTTGTCTTCTTCTCAATTTCAGGAAGCAAGGATGAGAGATACCCTGGAACAAGCAAGGGAACCGAATCTTAATCTGAAGGGCTACCTTCAAAATGCTTATGTGCATCCTGTTTTCAAAGACGATGATGAGGATGAAGATGAGGACTTCATGATGAAACTGGAGACTGATAGCGTTCTTGTCCCCACAAAACGCCAGTCAAGAATGAATACACCAGTTCCCAGCAAAGTCAGCGCTGGCTCATCTCCATCACTTCCTGATGCAGTCATTCATGAACATTAAACAGCTTAGAATGTTAGGTTGGAATATTCACCTCCTTTGTGCATGGGAGTTAGATCGCGGAGCTTCAACCTTAGCTAAGTGGTACAGAGAGCACTTCAACACATCATAGTTGAGCTGGCTGGACCAGTTTACGTTGGGACGGTTGGCATTGAAAGTATAAAAAATTGTAAAGAACTCCGGTGGTTTCTATAGGTGTAGCATTAGAAGAGTTTTGTACACTTAAGGATGTTTATATTTTTAGCATTTGCTGGTTGTTGACACTGAGGATATAATCTTGTACACAAGCTTTGTAAGGGAATGTATTTATTTTTATCGATCTCAGTTTAAGAAGAAAGCTGGATTTCTTGTTTGGTCTGTTTTTTAAGTTTGTATATGTGAAATTATTATAACCGGCGGTGGTTCAATTGAAGTAAAGTAAATATTTATGTCATAGAACAACAATAAGCAACTCCAGAATTCGGGATTCGCCTTAGACTTTGATTACCTTGGAGAAAGCTCTCCTGATTATGATTTTTTTTTTCATTTCAAAAACTCAAATATGAGACTTCGATTTATTTGGACCTAGGAAGCTCTTCCAATTACGATTTTTTTATATTTTTATTTCTAGAACTCGAATATGAAACTTCTTGATAAAAATGAAAAACTCGCATCCCACAACAAGCAGAAGGTCTCAGGTGTTGGTTGATCATTGATGGATGGATCATGCAGGGGCGGCTCAACATAATTGGGGGTCTAAAAGCGAAATTTCAATTTGAGGCCTAAAATATAAACAAACTTCGTATACATATTTATTCAAAATTTATTTTTCTTACACCATTTAGATGAAAATTAATAGTATTTAATATTGTTTTTTCAGTTATTGATTTTAGGTAAGATTTTATCAACTCAACATTGAAAAACATTCTTTCAACGAGGTAATATGAATTGCTAACATAATATTATAAGTAATAAGTTGACAAATATTAAATAAAGATAAGAGTTAGAACCATATAATCTGATTTAAGAAGTTGATGACTTGGTATACACCATTTTAATATGTTTGTTGAAATGTTTGAAACTAGAATTTAAAAAGAAATAAAAAAGAATTTGTAATTCACATTGTTCAACAATTTTCACTATTAATTCTTATTTTTAACAAAGTATGAAAGATGTTAAAATGGATAAAATAATATATATATTTTTTTATCATAATTAATCAATTTTTTCTATAAAAAATTAGCACATAATTTATTCTTGATAATAATTTGGATCCTCAAAATTTGGGGCCTAAGACATAACCCTTATTTTACAAAGGCAAGAGCCGGCCCTGGGATCATGGGACTGTTGATAGAAACAAGATTCACTTAAGTCAGTAAGGATAGTTTGGCCATTTCCTCTCCACTGTATAATTATAATTATATAAGTTATATTTATGAACCGTTTATGTATCAGAGCAGGTAAATTATTGTTCGAAAATTCAAGAGCTCCTACGCACTATCAACCATTGAATAATGAGAAAATATACTAATAGGGTGTTTAGATTGGCTTAAAAGTTGGTCAAATTTACTTTTAAATCAGTTTTTGACTTCCGGAAAATATTTGACAAATATAAAAAATAACTTAAAATAAGTTAGAAAGTATTTGACAAAGTAAAAAATGACTTAAAATAAGTCAAATTCAAAAGTAGGTCTCTCCCTACTTTTTGTTTTTTTGATTTAAAATTCATTTCAGTTTGATTTTTTATTTTTTACTTAATAACTACTTTGAAGTTAATTTTTTATTATTTTATATCATTATTTAATATTAAAAATAATAAAATTCTTTTAATTTATTAAAATGAAATATCTGTTTTTAGTAGGATAAATAAAATAAAACAGAAAAATTGTACTATAATAAAAATAGATTAAAATATAAATATTTCTTTAAAAAGAAGATTACGTGACGAGTACACGACGCGTGAACAACGACCTACGTATTACGTGATCTGGAAACCTAGTTTTCTAGTTTTGGCAATATGCCCTATTTTGGCCTTGAGATTTTTTAGAGGTTAAATTCCAATTTTGACCTTCAATTACTCCTAACTTTTTTCTATAACATTTTAGTATAAGTAGAAATATTGAGGGTGTTAAAATAGTTGTGTGTTAACTAGGAGAAGATACTATTAGAAATAAAATATTTGGATTTGGTGGAATTGATTTTTGTGGTCGATAAAAAATGTGAGGCGAGATTTGAAATGATTTGAGCATGTCAAAAGAGATTTATAAACATTTCAGTGAGGAGGTGTGAAAGGTTAATGTTAAAGGGCTTAGGAAGAGGTAGAGGTAGATAAAAAACGTAGTGAGAGAGATGTGGTCAATCAGAAAATGATATGCCTTCATCTTATTAAGGACATGACCCATGATATGATGATGTAAAAGTTGATGATTGAGTAGAAGGTTACACATAAATATTTTTTTTGTCTCGTCTCTCCTATTAGTAGCATTAGTATTATTTTTGATATTTTAATTATTTTAATGTCTTTGAATTTCTTATTCTTATTTTTTTTTATTACGACGTGGTGTTTCTTATCATTTATGCCTTTATTTCTTAGCTATTGTACTTAGGATTGTTCAAAATTAAACCGTACCTGATAAATCGACCGCAAGATTGATTTATTGGCTTATTCTATTAGATTATCGATTACGATTGGAAAATGAATTAAAATTTTATAAGAAATAATTTGTTAATTACTCAATTTCTTTATTCGATAAATCATTTATCCTATTAAAAGTTATCATACTTATACTTTTACCGTATGTATATATAAAAGTACACATTTTATTATTATTAGCCCTAAAAAATAAAGCCCCATTTAAAATTTTGCCATAAATGTTTCTATATGATCCCAAGCATTGGTTGAGTTTTTTTTTACCTTCATTGTCATTCTTGTTTAAATTAAAGCTCATTTATCAAGATCTAAAGGAAAGCAATATTCTCTTGAATGATGATATGAGTCCAAGAATTTCAGATTTCAAATTGCCAATGTTCATGCAGATTGTATAGTATAACCACGGTATATTGTAAGGTGTGTTCATCAAAAAAGAGAGTAGGTACTATAGAGGTTCCTCAGTATTCGTCCGATAATTGTTGATTTGTTATTGAATCAATTAGTATCTTATTAATTGACTAGCATATTAATGCATTTAAAAGTCGATAATCAATGAGTCAAACGGTAAACCGGAATTATCTGTCCCATAAGCAACCCTAATTCTACTGTTTTTGTCTTTATAAATATTGTATTTTTACTTTCTGGAACCAAAAATCTATCAAAATATTTTCCATAAAATCTGCATATTTTTCTTTCTCATGATAACCAACAAAACTATACTAAATATATTATTATTACCATTGTTGTTATTGATACATTATAAAATTAAATGACCAAGGTTTAAAATTTGTTGAGTTATTTTCAAGAAGAAACATTTTATCTTATTACAGTAATCTTTTACCCAAAAATAAACTTAGTTATTAGGATAAATAACTTTGAATGTTGAATAGGTAAAACAATAACGAAAAGTTAGTGGTCGTTTGACCATTGAGTTCCAGAAATCATGTTTAGTTATATATTTTATAAAATTTTAAAATTTAACTTAATTTCGAATTGTTGGTGTAATATACCAAAAAACAATAAATCACAATTGAAAAATGAAATGACAATAATGAATAAACAAATCTTTTGGTTCAAGCGCATATATATCATTCTCTTTAAAGAGATTCAAGTCCACTGCGACATAATTTACACTGAGCCACCAGTATGTCACTCAAGCAACTCCGAATTAGTTGAAGAGTCCAAAACTTCACATAAGAACACCTTCCTTCAACAGATAATTACTCTTGTGTATATATTTATAACTCTATTCAAATTATTTATAAAAATTTAAAAATAATTTTAATTTATATTCATACTTCTAAATATTATTGCGCCGAGTATATCAATTAATTGAATACCAAGCACACTAACATAAAGAACTTTTTTTCTAAAAAAGAAAAACGAACTCTAATAACAATATGATTGTACTTCCTATAATAATATACTAATATATCCTGCTAAATATTTATATTATTTTCTCTGCTTAATTAGTAAACCTTATGTTTAGAGACCTAGACAAACCCGTTCCTCATGATTTGAGATCACTAACAGAAAAATCTATTATATTTATATTTATATAAAACAAAAAGAATCATTAGATATTTCCGTAAATAAATTATGCAAACTGATCTTTTTAATCTAACTAGTTAATATTGAAGTATGTATGTGAGAAAAATCGGAGGAGGAAAATACAAATACAAATTGATGACTGATTTCTACAGTTTGTTCACCAACTCTTCCTTGTGTGGTACCTCAAATTTCGTTGAACTTCAAACTTATTCAATTGTTGCAAGTCACAGTTGAGATTTTTTACAAAAGAGAAATAGTAAGCTTATAAAATTCTTAGTTTAAAAATAAGAAGAAACCTTCTATTTATAGCAAACAAATGGTAGTATTTACATGTGTTGATTGTGCCTTATCAGAAAAGTCACAATCCTTCGAAAAAGACACAGTTCATCGAAAAGGTCACAACTCTTTGGAAAAGTCACAACCTTTCAAAAAAGTCACAATTCATCGGAAAAGTCACAACCCTTTGAAAAAATCACAACTTTTCGAAAAAATCACAACTCATCTGAGAGGTCACAACACTTCGAAAAAGTCATGACCCATCGAAAAATCACAACCCTTTAATGTGAAAAAAATAGTGAGTACTTTTAACACATTATACTTTATTAAATAAATAAATTAATTAAATTGAGTGTTTTTAGTTAGGGTATTAAAGTAATTCAATATTGAAGTTTAGGAATTCTTCTAACCTGGATTTTACATGACATCCCATTTTTTTTCTTAATAAAATTTTCTTATTTATAAAAAAAAATTCAATTCATTCAACTATACACTTTGACTAAGTAGGCGTTTGGTCATGCGATATCATATCACGATATGGTATCGTGAGATGAAATCAGCGTTTGGACATGCGATTTTACGCTGATTCCATATCATGAGAGGTGATACCATATTCTCCAAAAACCATGATATGGAATTATTTTGTAATTCCATATCATGATTTGAGATATTTTAATTCAATAATTGATACATGAGTTTATAATTTGTTAAAACAACCCCACATTTATATCTACTAACCATTTATTTCATAGGTAAAAAAATAATTATAATCACATCATTACTTTTTAAAATTTATTATTCTCACCGACATAAAATTTATTATTTTCACCAACACATAGTCACTTTAACTCACACCTCACGATTGT